ATAATTTTTTTATTTAAAAATCATAAGTTGAGAATTTTAAATCTATACTATTAAAACTGAAATTTTTATGTAAGCAATTAAAATTCTTATGAAATTTCAAATAGTTTTTCCTATTCCATCGTTATTATTGGTATTCTTGCGATGTGGACTGATGCATCAAACTTTTCTGCTAACAGCATTTATGCTTTGGGGTTTATATATCTGTTACCATGGGTACTAACAGGATATTGACAACCTCATGGAAAGATATTCTCTGATCTCACTCGGGCTTTCATTAATTTAAATATCTGGACAACTTGCTGGTACGAAAATTGGAGAAAATTTTTATTTGCTATGTCAAACTTGACAGTAAGGTGCGTTCTGATCTCTCACAACATGATCGTCTAGTCTGTAATGTTTGAATCTTTTAGTGGGCATACACATACACGGGTGAGGAAAAGCTAAAAAATTCTTAACCTATGTGGGTTCTGGTTAATGCAGGGGATTGTATGCGATTGAGAGAAACCCGTCCATCTAACAAACAGATAGGACTGACTTGATTGACCAAACACAAGAGGAAGAGAGAGAGATGTCAACTTTTATGACAAGTTCCATAGTGCAGGACAACACCTCAATGTTGTGGCGCACATGGTCGCTTATTATATTCCCCATCTTCCTTGTTCTGCTATTCAAATGGTATTCCAAATCTACAACCAGCAAAACCTCACTCCCTTCCCCACCGAAATTCCCAATCATAGGAAATCTCCATCAACTAGGTTTGTACCCTCATCGTGCTCTCCATTCTTTGGCTCAAAAGTATGGTCCTTTGATGCTTCTTCATTTTGGGGAAAAGCCAGTACTTGTAGTCTCTTCTGCAGATGCTGCTCGTGATGTAATGAAAACCCATGATCTTGTATTTGCAAATAGACCCCAGGGTAAAATGAATCACATACTGTTATATCGCCGTAAGGACATCGCATCTTCTCCGTATGGAGAATACTGGAGGCAGATGAGGAGCATAAGTGTGCTGCATCTTCTGAGCAACAAAATGGTTCAATCCGTTCGTGGTGTGAGAGAGGAAGAAGAAATTGCCATAATGATGGAAAAGATCAAGCACGATTCTTCTACGAACATGTAGGTGAATTTGAGTGAGTTATTTGCATCAATTACGAACGATGTGACTTGCAGGGTGGCTTTGGGGAGGAAATATGGTGAGGAAAGTGGAAGAAACTTCATGGAAATTTTGATGAAGTTTGGAGAGTTACTGGGTACATTTGTGGTTGGGGACTATATACCCTGTGGCTTGACTGGCTTGGTAATGTGAATGGTTTATATGCTAAAGCACGTAAAGTGGCTAACCAATTGGATCAATTTTTGGAGCAAGTAGTTGCAGAGCACATGATTCGTCCAAAAGAAGCTGGGGAAACTGAAGGCCATGAAGATTTTGTGGACGTCTTGCTTTCGATTCAAAGAACAAACTCCACAGGATTTCCCATTGACATGACTGCCATAAAGGCCTTGATCCTGGTAAGAAAACTACTCTTAGCTTACAATATATGTCATATATCTCTGTTATTATGATGTCGTAAATTGACAAATTCAACCCAGCTAACTGATCTTCCTTGTTAATCTCTTCTCATTGAGACTTGTCAATATGAATATGATTCTGCAGGACATGTTTGCTGCAGGGACTGACACGTCATTTACAGCTTTAGAATGGGCAATGGCAGAATTATTAAGGCATCCAGATATCATGAAAAAATTGCAGAATGAGGTTAGAAATGTGGGGAGAAAGAGATCAGATATGGTAACAAAAGAGGACATAGATCACATGCCTTACTTAAAGGCAGTTTTGAAAGAAACACTTCGCTTACATCCCCAATTCCCTTACTAGTCCCTCGAGAAAGCATGCAAGATGTGAAAATTCAAGGCCATGACATCAAATCTAGGACACAAGTAATTGTGAATGGTTGGGCAATAGCAAGAGATCCTGTGTATTGGGACAATCCTCAAGAGTTCGAGCCAGAGAGGTTCTTAAATAGTTCGATAGATTATAAAGGACGTGACTTTCAGCTGATCCCATTTGGAGCAGGAAGAAGGGGGTGTCCTGGAATAGAGTTTGCAATGGCCATTGTTGAGCTTGTGATGGCAAACATTGTCTTCCAATTTGATTGGGCTTTACCTAATGGAGAAACTGCAGAGGCCTTAGATATGTCTGAAATAGCCGGTCTTTCAGTGCATAGAAAGTTGCCTCTTATTGCAGATCCATCATCTTATATCGAAAGTAGCATAATATGAGCTAGTCAAGGCTCGAGACCTCACCCCCTCCGTGTCTTCCTTTTTTTTTTCCCCCCCTTCTTAATATTTAGCACATGCCTCCTTTATAAAAGTAAAATCTGTTTATGGTAATAAGGTATGTTTTTGAACTTATCATTTTCATTTACGTTGCTCTGTATTTAGAAATGCACTGAAGTTCATCTTCACAATTCAAATGTATCAAATTGATGTTATGTATATGCTGTAAGTAAAATTGACAGGTCATTTAAATTTAAAAGAGAGAAAAATTAATACTACTTCTTGTCCTAATTATAAGAGCCAGTTGACTAATTTGAGGAGATGAAGGAAGTAAATTGAGTTAGTTATTTGTCCTAAATAAGTACTGTCTTTCTTAAAATATCCTTACTAATCAAGTGTATTGACTAGAATTATTATTGTTAGAAAGGTAATTTTGGAAAAAAAATGTATAAATATGAGAGACAAAGTGGATTGGGGTTTTATATTTAGGACCAAAATAAAAACAAATAGGATCTTATATTAAGGAGTGGAGGTATATAATTTGATTGTTGAGTTATACTTGATCAAGCGGTTGACGTGCGCACTAGTGCTGGTTGGTCGCCCACCATAGCAGGAATATCGCAATCATTGACAAAATAAAATGATCCTCAAGAAAAAAAGGAAACCTTTTTGGTGAGAAGTTTCATAACAAAAACGATAATATTTACTCGCCGCCAGGTCTAATTTAATTTGTTATGATTCAATGGGTTAGTTGATAAGATTTTGGATAATCTAATACATAATCAAATTAAATTTTCATTAAATATTATTTATTAAAATGTGGCCTCAACCCTAATATCAAAATTAACTAGGATATTTAATTAGATTAAGTTTAAAATATATACTTAATCTTTTAATTTTATATAAAGTTTTAGTTTGGTTTTTTAATTTTAAAAAACATATTTTTAGTCCTTTAACTCTAAAATCATTAGGCTTAACTTATGATTTTTTAATAAAACATTGTTTTTAATATATTAACATTTGAGAACGTTTTATCAACATGTAAGATATCAATATCATTATTATTTTTTGTTAATAACTAAAAGTTTAAAAGACTAAAACTATAATTTGTCCTTTTTTTGGGTGACAAGTCATGTCAATATTCGCCTTCGAAGTGGCAAACAACCTAGCGTGTAACAGGTTCGACAGGCCATTTCTGTAAACAGGCTGAAATTAATAAAGCCCAATTGATAATGTGCCGAATGCAGGTTTACATTTTCTTTTTAATTATTTAAATTTGAAATTAGTAAAAATAATTACCCTCAGTATCTAATTATAATATAATATTCCCCAATCACTTGGTTAAATTGCGAGAACATCTCTTTCTCGTGTCAATATTAGTTGTTTAGACAAATTTTTAACGAAGATTTAATCACCCACTTAATATTTAATGCGATAACAATTCATTAAAAAGTATTACCTCTGGTTTTTAATATAAGACTTAGTTTATTAATTTAAAAAAATTAAAATTAGTTATTCATAGTAAATAAATATTATCTTTTCTAAAATATATTTATTAATCATATGTGTTTGAATTACAAATTGATAGTAACTCCTTAACACATGAAACTACTATTGGGATTACTTTAGGACAAAATAAATAAATATTAGAGATAAAATAAATTTAAATTTTTATTTAAAATCAAATTAAAAATCAAATTAGTTTTTATATTAATCACTGATAAGATAATACATGTATGGCAATTTTTCAAAATTTAATGCTGGAAGATATTGTAGCCATTAGGAAGCAGGATAAAAAGGTAGGAGCCGGGGCCGATCGCAGACGGCCGTTGAAGGGTGTCTTTCTTTTCCTTACCTTTTCCCCCCTTCTTTTCTCTTCATTAAATTAAACATTATCATAAAAAATAAAAAGCTCTGCTATATAAAAATTTATTTAAATTAACATTTGTCAAATTAAGTTTCATCCTAACTTATTTTTAAATTAAAATAAGGATAAAATTTAAGCAAGGTAACATAATTTATTATTCAGACGATATATTGAAAAGTTAATTTCAAACAATTTCAATATTAAAAAATCACAAAATAAAAGCTAAAAATTAAAAAAAAATACTCTAAACTATTTTAAAATTAAAAGTCATTTTCTGAAAAGCTATCTCAAACTGACTTTTTAAAATGTAGGAAGTCAATTTTGTTGAATAAAACCTGACGCAAAACATGCACTAAAACGTTTATGGATCGTTGAATTCAATTTTACCCGTATATTCAGATCAAATATATATATATATATATATATATATATAATATATATATAAGAAGCAGCAAGCGGTGGCAGCATAGTGGTGGGGATAGTGGGGAGAGAAAATTTCGCGGAAGGACGCTATCACCAAACATCCCTATCTCTATCAAATTCTCAATCACACCCAATTGTTTTTTCAGCAAACTACCCCTTCCACTTCATCGCCCACTGATTCTCCCTCTTCCTTCTCTCTACGTTTCCAGTTCTCTTATGTTCTCCCTCACCTTCCCTGTAAAAGGTATCTACTGTATCCCTTCTTTTTGTTTTGTTTGTTTGTTTTTTTTTTTTTTTTTTGGTTATTCCTTATTCCAATCCAGCCACCCCTTCAAATCTTAAATGTAGTGTTATAGTCATAGCTTCAAACAATGATAAGGGGTGGGGCGGGGCTACTAAACAAATGTCGCTGGATTGAAAATTAATGTTAAAATGCAGGTTCTTGGACTTGCTGTCTGGTTTCAGTTGTATTTCATTAAACCATATTCCTGCATGTTTTCGCGTATTTTTTATGGAAAAAAGAGAAATCAGAAATTGTCAGGTTTTGTTTTCAAAAGTGTAATGTGGCACATCTTTTGCTTTTTCATGGCAGTTCTCCTGAGAGATTTAATCAGGTGCAGAATCTCCGTGGAATTTAGAGGGGATGGGTGGATCCATTTCAAAACGGCGTAGTGGGAGGCAACGTTCTTATTCAAGGACTAGTTCACATTCTTGGAGTTACCCTCCGCCTCAATCACCCTACGTGCAACAAAGCCAAGATCATTTGCCTCGTGAATACTACGGGGCTCCATCTCAAACCTACGGTGGTGGTCGTGCACCTGAATCACGAAAGAGATTGGAGAGGAAGTATTCAAAGATAGGTGACAACTACGTTAGCTTGGACCAGGTGGTTTTTCTTTTCACCAAGTTTCGTTTTACGAAGTGGTTTTATGAACTAATGCATTATGAGGCCAGAATAACATTTTCTTTTTTGCGGTACTCTTCTCTGACAACCACGATCCAAGTGCATCGCTGTTATACGTCTAAGGAGGCATCATCATCATTATATGGACGCTTTCATCATAAACATTGTTTAAATTAAGGCACAAATAGTTTCCATTGCTTTGCTGTTTTCCACAACATAATAATTTTAGGTTATTCTGACTGATGGCATAACAGTAGTTGTTGGTATCTTAAGTTCACTGACAATCTGCTGTAATTCTTGATTTTGTCAGGTAACCGAGGCTCTAGCAGCTGCTGGTTTAGAGTCTTCCAATCTAATTGTTGGAATTGACTTCACAAAGAGCAATGAGTGGACAGGTTTTCCTTCATTTGGCTGCTCTCCTTTTGTTGTCTTTCTTCTGCAATTTAGATGACAACTGATACTCATAACTCGCCTTTCATCAGGTGCAAGATCATTCCAAAGGAGAAGCCTGCATCATATTGGTCATGACCAAAATCCGTATGAACAAGCAATATCAATCATTGGAAAAACAATGTCTTCCTTTGATGAGGATAACTTAATTCCCTGTTTTGGATTTGGCGATGGTAATTTCAAAATTTCAGTATCTAATGTATCACACTCTTGTGTTTCTTTCCAAGTTATATTATATGTGGTTTTACATATTGGCAGCATCAACCCATGATCAGGAAGTTTTTAGTTTTTATCCGGATGAGAGATTTTGTCAAGGATTTGAAGAAGTGTTGAGACGGTACCGGGAATTGGTTCCTGAATTAAAGCTTGCAGGTATTAGAACCTTGGTCATTCCTCATTTCCTTGTTGTTTTTATTTGACGACAGCATCTTGCTTATGGTGTTTCTGTTCTGCCTACTATGCTTTGACAGGGCCAACATCATTTGCCCCAGTAATTGAAATGGCAATCACCATAGTTGAGCAGAGTGGTGGCCAATACCATGTTTTATTGATAATAGCAGACGGACAGGTAAAACGTTTTAGATTATGTTAAGTCCCTGTTAATAAAAAGATTAATTGTGTTTGTATAAGAAACTTGCTGAAAGCCTAAAGATGATATTGCTGCAGAATTATCAGTATGGTATGGTCTTGGTTGCCTTGGGGCCTGAATTGAAAATTGGAATTTGGAAACTTATTTATGTTGAACTAATTGAAGCCCAGGGTTGCTTCAGGTGACAAGAAGTGTTGATACTGAGAGAGGACAGCTAAGCACTCAGGAAAAACAAACTGTTGAAGCTATTGTGAAAGCAAGGCAATTATCTGTACATTGCTGTAGTCTTTCAATTGCCCTTTTCGGAATCATATTTCTGAACTTTGTGTTGTTTTCAGTGAATATCCACTGTCAATTATATTAGTTGGAGTTGGAGATGGGCCATGGGACATGATGAAAGAATTTGACGACAACATACCAGCCCGGGCCTTTGATAATTTCCAGGTTTGCATCTCAAGACCAGATTATAAGCTGTCTGTTTTGCTCCTGACATGTCCTTGGTCAATAATGTAAAATCTGTAATTTTGCTTTTCTTTAATCTGTTTGGCGCAGTTTGTGAATTTTACTGAAATAATGTCAAAGAACATGGATCGATCCAGAAAAGAAACAGAATTTGCACTTGCTGCGCTAATGGAAATACCCTCTCAGTACCAGGCAACATTGGAACTTAATATACTGGGGTATGCATGTTAAGCCCTTTTATTTGTTCCGTTCTGTTATTTTTTTCTTTCTTTTTCTGGGTAAAACTTGCCGTACTTGATGTAACAACTGTTGTAACGCCGTTTAATTTTTGTAATATTTCAACAGTGCTCGTAGAGGGAAAGCGATAGATAGGGTTCCTCTCCCCCCGCCTCTGTATGGTGCTGCATCTGTCAACGCCCCAAAAGCTTCCCGTTCAAGCAGTTTTCATCCTAGTGCACCATCTGACAGGCATCATGATACGGGCGCAAATCGTCCTGCAAGTTCTGCTTCTGATAATCATGTACCTTTATTCTACCCACACCTATTTCGCTTAACGATATGGCTTTTCAATGAATTTTGGAACATCCTAAATTATTATGTTGTGTAATCCTGGCAGGATTGTCCAATTTGCCTCTCTGAGCCTAAGAATATGGCCTTTGGTTGCGGACATCAGGTAACAGTGCCAGGCAGTTAATTATTTTCTAGGTTTACATTTAGCTTTGTGGTTGAATGCATACATCGGTTACGTGACTCGTCTTCTACTCTACTTAATCGGCAGACTTGCTGCGAGTGTGGACAAGACATGGAGACATGCCCCATTTGCAGGAGTACCATTGATACTCGAATAAGACTTTATTAGACGATACCTCATCTGGAAACCTGTCCATTGTTTTTCAAGTTTATATATTTTGCAAGTTGTCTGTCGATGAAAATGAAGAATGAAGCAGAGGTTTGCTCGCCAGATTCACAGTGTACATATACTGGATATTTATTCGTCCAAGTTTAAGTACATATACTGGATATCTATTCGTCCAAGTTTAAGTTTTACTCTTGCTCAAAATAAAAAAACTCAAGTTCTACTCACATTCCATATGAATGATCCCAATCATCAATAACATGACGGCGTTCTGCGTTTCAAATTCGTTGCTGAACCTCGTATTTAAAAAAAAAAAAAAAGTCGTTGATGAACCGGGACAGCGATTTTTTATTAATTAATTCCGTGGTGTTTCGTCAAGTCCATGTTTTATTGATGAACCAGGACAGAGGAATTGCTTTGTATATATATAATTAGATGGCTTAATAGTCAAACCTGCGGCTGTACTAATCTTTGTTGCTTAAGTATGAGAAAGTTAATGAAAAAAACCGAGAAAACAAAAGGTAATGCCTTGATACTATAAGCTCGGAATTTTGGCATCAGAAAGATCATCTTTCACGCCCATCCCGTCCGTGCTTACGCGACCCCAACTATGTTGTTATCAAGTATACTCTTATGTGACCTATAAACTCTCCTCACGGCAAGATTCATTACACTGATATGAGGATGAATTAGCGGACTGATTTTTAGCCTAGTTGGCACAGTACAGTGATGATCTTTATCCTATTTTTGCTCTGTTTTTGGTTTGGAGATGGCGCAACAAGAGTGGTCTCAAGAAACAGGGGAGGGCAATGGCAGCTCCTGCTTAAGAGCACTGGCGTGGTGGGGATGCACATGGCATTAACTCAACGTAACACCGTCGTAATGTTCGATCAAACCGGAGCTGGCCCGTCTGATTACCGGCTTCGGAGACGTTTCAGTGGCGGAAGATGCACCAGAAGAAGCGACGACTTGATGGATTCTGCATGCTATGCTCACTCTGTCGAATATGACGTTGGTGGTAACAGAGTGAGGCCTTTGAAGCTTGTCTCTGATCCTTGGTGTTCCTCTGGTTCATTCCTCAGCAACGGGACACTTTTACAAGTTGGTGGATATAATCGCGGAGCCAAGAGAGTCAGAGTGTTTAGACCCTGTAGGGATCGCCAATGTGACTGGACACAGACGAAGAAATCCCTGTCTGATCGGCGATGGTATGCTTCTACTCAGATTCTGCCCGGAAATGACCGAGTCGTCGTGGTTGGGGGAAAAGGAGCTTTCTCATATGAGTTCATCCCAAAAATAGACTCGAGAGAAAAGTCATTTGCTCTTCCATTCTTGCGCCAAACTAATGACAGAAAGTCAGAAGGGAACAACCTCTATCCCTTCCTCCATCTTTCATCAGATGGCAATTTGTTCATTTTCGCTAACCGTGATTCTATCTTATACAAGTTGAGACGACACAGAGTGATCAAGACCTTCCCTCGGATCCCAGGAGATGGTTCCAGAAACTACCCGAGCTCAGGCTCATCCGTGATGCTCCCATTACACCACGGAGACAATTTCCAGAAAGTAGAAGTAATGATCTGTGGAGGAGCAGCTTCCGGAGCTTACAGAGCTGCAGACAATGGAAGATTCTTGATGGGGTTACGTTCATGTGGAAGAATGGTGATCACAGGGAACAGGCACGTATGGAAAATGGAGAACATGCCCGGGCCACGTCTCCTACATGACATGCTCATCCTCCCAACTGGACAGATTCTGATTATCAATGGAGCTAAAAGTGGTTCTGCAGGGTACGACAATGCAAGAAACGCCTCTCTTCAACCCTACCTCTATGGTCCAGGAAGAAGACGAGGAAAAAGATTCACAGTGCTCAGTTCTACCAAAATAGCCAGAATGTACCACTCTTCAGCGACTCTTCTTCCTGATGGGAGGGTCTTAGTTGCAGGAGGTAACCCTCACAGTAAGTACACATTTCACAATGTGGCCTACCCAACTGAGCTGAGACTACAAGCTTTCGTTCCAAATTACATGCACAGGAGGTACCATCAATGGAGGCCAAGAAATGTGTCCATTGCATATGGAGGAGGTGGTGGTGATGAAAGCTATGAGATCGAATATGGGAAACAGTTCAGTGTCAGATTTTTTCTTGGAAGGAGGCCGAGCAAGGAGATGGAGTTCAGTGTGTACGCACCGCCATTTACGACGCATTCGTTCTCCATGAATCAGAGGTTGCTGAAGCTGAGATGCGTGACCATGAAGAGAGATGGAAGTGGCTGGATTAATGCGGTTGTAGAAGCCCCGCCATCGCCAAATGTTGCTCCTTCTGGTTATTACTTGTTCACCATTGTGAATGCTGGAATCCCCAGCATGTCTCTGTGGGTTCGGTTTATTCATGCCTAGTCTTAATTATCTCTCTGTTTTATTATGATATTTTCTGAGTGAATTGGCTAGTGGAAAATTTCAATATGTTAGAGACTACAAGAAAAGCTTATCAGGAAAGTATTTTCTTTTGTTTATGAAATTGTGTGCTTTCATATGCATAACGTCTAAGGACTTTGATTTCTTTCCCTTTTCTTTTATTTGGTCAACTTTATGGTTTTCATTTATTTGCTTAACCAAATAAAAACCCTCCTTCGCTAGGCTTTTAAAAACATGAAGTGCCCAGAATACTTGAGTTTTGTTAAATTGAAGAAATCATTTTAGTACTTGAGTTTTGTCTGCTACATAAATTCTTATCTACCCAACACTTTGAACTGAATTTAAGTGGCTCTAATGCGAACTACATTTGTCCAAATAAATTAATATGGATTCCATTACTTTATGAGAGAGTTAAGAAGGGAAGATAAGTGGGACAAGTTTCCTGAGATTTATTATTATAAAATTTTGATAAAATTGGGAGACAAAATAAAACGTGTGTATGAGATTTTTTCCATAATAAAAAAAATTAAATAACCCAAACTTAAAAATTTAATTTGAGGAATTAGAATTGAAGAAATTGGGTTGACCCTATACCAGATGATTGTGAATTATTAGGTTTCTTAAATGTGAGACGGCGATGAAGCAGCATAGCATTTACCAAAAAATTGCAGCTCCAATGGCCTCATTAATTAACTGTACCAAACTAGTTTGCGCATGAATGCGTGTTGCAAGCCAACTTTAAGCCCACAAAGTTGAGTGATTCAGAGGACACCCATGCAAAAGTCCTAAATCCCGTGAAGAGAAAATAATTAAGCAAGCGTGACTTGCCCTTGAAGCTCTGACCGACCATACAGCAATTTCACTGTACGATGACTTCTGGGGTCAAGCTTTCCTACCAGAGGCTGCAAAATGAACAAGAGCTGGACGAAGAAATACTAGAAAGAGAAGTGAAGAAGGCAAAGGCGTGGCTTAAGTTCAAGGCTCTGGCTGGTAGAAGAAGGCCAAAGGTTCGTGTTCCCAGACTGAAGAGATTCCTCAGAAAAAGAAGCAAGTTTCTGCGTGGCTTCAAGGTCTCATGGCGGAAAGCTCTGCACAGGCTGAAGAATGGGCAGAGTCATCTCAGTGATCTCTTCGGGGGAAACTTCCTATTCATGCACTGCAATCCCACTCCTTTCAGTATGAATCATGGCCTTCACAAATCACCACCAACTTATTCTATGGGGAGGATTGTTTAAGCTAATCTGTATCATTTGTATTTAGTAATGGCTATTATGTATGGTTCCATATATATATATATATATATATATAAAACTCAGGTAAGTCTTACTGCTACTTGTAGATGTGGTGAGAACTCTTACACGGGTCCGGCCAAGAATAGAGTATGTTATGGACTATCTTTTAAAATCCTCCTTCTTCACGCCATAGATTTTATCACTCGTTCTCGACTCAATTTGATTAATTTTACGGGGGTGATCTGTTTTTTAAGCCATCACTCACTTTGATTTTGCACTGACTCATCTTCTCTGATTGAATATTAATCAGGCATCACGTTTCTACCAGTTATTCTTCAGAAATTCATAGACGTGTGCGCGTGAGCAGACAAATCAAAATTGTCACTTTTCTTCATGACGTATCCATTCTATCTGCTAGTATTTTATTATCCAAATAACAGAAGACTCACTACTATTCATCGGTCAAAGCAACTGATTACAAGGAAACGAGAGAGATTCAATCGATCTAATGCGCAATCGGGGGTTTACATGAATTTGATTTTTCTTTCATCCACGTGCCACAAAACCCATCACATGAACACATACATGTTTGTTTTGGCTTTACATAAAACAACAGATTCGAACTAAGAAAACTTGCTATGTAGTATAACTTTCAAGTTTCAACATCTTTGTTTGGAATGCCACCCTCACCCCACCACCCCCACCAAAAAAAAAAAAACCGAAACAAAACTAGGCGTCTGAGAGTTCATATATTCCTCATACAAGGACGTGAGGTTTAAGATAAGAGCAACTGATATATCACACATCAGCAAAGAAGTGATACTTACGGGTGTTGTCAACGATTAATCGAACTGCAGAAATGGTGGTTGCTACTGCGAGCGCAGAAGAAAACATGATGCTGAACCAGTGCCATGCTCTCTTCTCTATTCTTGCCGTCTTTCCCTTCACCTATATGATCCCAATATAATATTCATATTATGAGAAATAAAGACAGAGCGTACATACACACACACGCACGCACGTGTTATAGTTGAAAGTGAGAGCATATAAATGAGACCTTGAGGAAGATCATGCTGGGGAAGACGAAGGTGAGGGGAATGAGAGAAAAAGAACCGAGCAAGTTGACGAAGTCGCCCATGAAAGGAAAAGCGGCGGAGACCAATGTGTTGCCTGAAAAGAAGAGTGTCCGTACGAGGAACAAGCGTCTCAGGTTTTGCTTCTCATGCATCCCCTTGTCAATATCCAGGTATTTGGTATCCAACGCCTCATGAATTGGTGCCACAAACATCTGCGTTCATTCATTCACTCGTTTAACAAACTTTGATGCTCCCATTTGTGTTAGACAACTAAAAAAACACTAACAAAAGTAAAAGAATGTGCGATTAATTACGTGTTGAGAGACCACTGACTGGAGGAAGACGACGGCGTTGACAAGGACAATGGCCCATTTAGGCCCACTAAAGTTTTCGGGGAGGTATGCCGACACATTTGATCCGTAAGCCCAGTAGCCAGCTACGATAACTCCGTAATAGAATAGGAGCCCCACTGTATACTGCGAATATAGCGCCTTCCTCATGTTCCTCACTGCTGGCTTCCTCAGAGTTGACTGCGTCGTTTGTATATGCCAAAAGCCAAAAACAAATCATTCTTTTCTACAGCCGGCTTCCTCATATTATTTACTACCTCCCGACTAAAATATAAAGGCTAGTTGACTAATTTAAGTAGATTAAGAAAATAAATTTAGTTAGTTATTTATAATAAATAGGTGTTGTTTTTCCTAAAAAATCCTTACTAACGGCTAGAACTATTATTATTAAAAAGACTATCTTTAAAAAAATATACATAAATATGGGAGATAGAATAGATTAAGATTTTATATTTAAAACTAAAATGAAAATAAAATGAGATCTTATATTAAAGACAAAAGTAGTTCTCTTTTTTATGTTGACTTTGGTGTTGGATGTATCACCTGTATCTCTGGTAGCAGGCCTGAAGTGTTGGAGACGATGATGGCAGAGATGGAGCCCAAGGCATTGAACACCATGCTCACCTCGCTCCCGCTAATATCATAGTCTCTGTTGGAGTTTGATTTACCTTGCAATAACAATAACAGCAATAGGCGTGTTCATGCGGGTCACGCTGTCTGGGAAAAGAATCTTGTAATTCTAAGAACACTGTTATTGAGGGACAGAAATGGACGCTTTACCATCTTTGGCTACAACAAACAAAGTCACTGCGATGTATGCGAAGGTAAGGACGGCGGAAAGTGCTAGCCAATTTTTCATGGCCGACAAAGTTGGAATGAAGAAGGCAAATATGAGATAAGCTGCTCCTGTTATGACTATGTAATATTGAAGCCGCAGCGGTGAATCGCTGAACTCTGAATTTATTGCCTGCAGCATGCATTTTCACATTCAAAATACAAGCCATCTAGCTAATCTAACCCAGTTTTGTCTGGAGATATAGAGATGGGGAGGGTTAGTATTACTTTAAGGGCTTGGCCTCCGAGGATCATGAAACCCATGTTTCCAAGAAGAAGAGTCAGAAACTGGGCAGCCCATGTGAGTCGATGCATAGTGTTGCCTTGAAATATAATAAGAGATTATATGATCAGTTCACTAACCTTTTAATAAGATGCGAATATGGTGGATTTGGATCTGATATGACTTGTATATACTGAAAAGCTCACCGAAAAGGAATCCCATGATGTCTCTGTATCTGATGAATCTCTGGCCATTGATGAAGTGAAACGATGCTAAGAGCCAGTTTGCATATGCTGTGTAGAGTCCCACAACAACAAGGCAGAGGACGCCCCATTTCCAACTCAGCGGCACCATTATCAAATTCGAGAAGGTAAGTATCCATCCACAGTTGAAGCTGGTTATCAGCAGCAACCCTACTTGTTGCCATGAATCTGCAGCAAATTACATATTCATACGTAATTAGGTGCAGAAGAAGCAAAGTCTCAAATTTTCAACGCAACTACACAAGTAGCTATGCATAATGATTACCGTTGTCCACGGTATGAGCAGAAGTGACCCCATCAATTTGAGGGCTCTGTTGAAGGCCCTGTTCGATGCTTAGAGACTTGTTTCCTCCTTCCTCATCCATGGAGAATCCTGAGTCTCTGCAGAAAATGCCAAAAAGAAAAAAAGCAATCTTTTTGACTTAAAGCGGTTATCTCAGTGCGGCGGCATGTTTGTGAGGGCGTCTGGCTTTAATAATAAGAACTCTTCACATGTTGGATTCGGTTGAAGATGGTGATGACATTAGTGGAACCCGACTTCGCTGTGTTTGATTGAAAACGTTTCTATTTTTTTCTATTTTTTTATGATTCTAATTAAAGAGGATTCGAATCCATGGGTTCATTTTTTTTTAATTATTTTGCCCTATTTATTATGGACTCGTGCTGCTACGAGATGCTGATTTTCATTGGCGCTCACTCACAAACTGCCAAAAAAACACACTCATCTCGTAGACTCACAACCATCTGGAAAAGATTACTAAACTAAGCATACTCAAATCATTGAACATGTCAACGCTATGACTCATAGGATTGTTTCCATTCAAATTTTACGGCCCCAGCGTGTTATGATTTAGAAAACGTCAACTGCAAAAAATTCTAAATATTAGATAGTTGTAGTTTGCTGATAGTTATTAAGAAATCAGAAGCGTCTCAGGACATAACGTTTATAGAAAGCAGACGACGAAATATCAGACCCTCTGATATTTATTAAGAAATCAGTCGCGTGGATCCCATCAGCAGAGGAATTCTCAATCATTTCTGTCACTTTCACAATCCACATGCATCAAAGATATTGAGAGATTCCGGATAAGCATCAATTGTATTGGAGAGCGATATGCTATTTAATTGTTGTACAGTGATTAAATTGGTCATAACTCAAACAAATCCGCTTTTTCGTTGTCAAAAATTCAAGGAGAACGCAAGCTGGGAGAACAGTGAGTTCATCAAGCTAAGCCTATAGCTAAATCTCTTTGAATAATTAAGGGCCTGTTTGGGTATTCCAAAACTGTGGTTTCAGAAGTACTTTTCCGCAAAACAAGATAATCTCCTCCACATATTTACTTCGTAATCCGTAAAAGCACTTCTGAAACCATGGTTTGGCTTCTATCCGTAAAAGCACATATTTAAGTCGGCTTATTTATTTTAAACCTGTATGGGCCCAACCCATGCTATTTTTCCTATCTATATTATTATCTAAATATCTTTCTCTTTTGCCCACTTTAAGCTCTTAAATATGCTTTTAGATTTGGCTGGACTTTCAGCTTTAGACTTATTGCATTGCTTTCCCCTGTTCAGCTAAAATTTAGCCTCATTTAGCGCTTTTGATAATTTTTCCCCCTACCCGTACCAACTAGACTAGTTTTTGTTTGGCCATTTTATGCTTTATCAAAATTTTAAAAAAGTATTTAATCTTGTTAACTTCATCTTAAAATTTAGTTACTTTTTAATTTTATACTTATTAAATATAAGGTTAAAGTGCACTCAGTATCTGAAATTATGTATTGAAATATATCTAGTACTCTAAAATAGTAATGCAATTTCATCCTGATCTACTAAAAATAATGATTACACCCCAAATTAACAGAAATCTTGGTTTTGATCGGAAAATTGCTCACTGAGAGTGGAGTTTGACCCATGAAACTGTGAAAGCTTAGTTGGCAGTTAGATGGACATGGGAAAATAATAATTTTTTTAATTTTTATTAAACCGAAGCTTTGTGTATCCAAAAGAAAACGCTGCCGTTACGTGAATAGATGCATTTTTATTTTGTTTTTACAGGAGCAATATATTCAAACTAATAACACTCGCTACGTAATATACTGCCTTTGCTCCTAATTATAAGCTATTGACTACAAATAAGTTCTTATAAATAGAACCCGAGGTAGTAACTTCCAACATCTTTCTTTGTTTGGAATGCCAATAAAAATTCTGGTCTGAACCCAGCAAACCACGTCGAACTTTCTCTTCACGAAATTATGCCATTCGTCCAGCGTTGTTTACTCTGAACAACACCACCCCCCCCAAAAAAAAAAAAAAACTAGGCGTCAAAGAGTTCATATATTGTTTATACAAGGACGTGAAGTTTTAGGTACAAGTGGCGGATATATCACACATCTGCGAAGAAGTGGTACGTACGGGTGTTATCAACGATCAACCAAACTGCAGAAATGGTGGTTGCTACCGCAAGAGCAGAAGAAAACATGATGCTGAACCAGTGCCATGTTCTCTTCTCTATTCTCGCCATATTTCCCTTCACCTATATATATGATCCCCAATATCATATTCAGACTGACAAATAAAAAGCATATACTCCTCTGATTCTAAATATAAGATCCTTGTAAGTATATATATATATATATATATATATATATATATCTATCTATCTGCGTGTGTGTTATAGGTGAAAGTGAGAGTATATAAATGAGACCTTGAGGAAGATCATGCTGGGGAAGACGAAGGTGAGGGGAATGAGGGAAAAAGAACCGAGCAAGTTGACGAAGTCACCAATGAAAGGAAAAGCGGCGGAGACCAACGTGTTGCCTGAAAAGAAGAGTGCGCGTACGAGGAGCAAGCGTCCCAGGTTTTGCTTCTCACGCATCCCCCTGTCAATGTCCAGGAACTTGGTATCCAACGCCTCGTGAATTGGTGCCACAAACATCTGCGTTTGTTCATTCCTTTGATGCTCCCATTTTGTCAAAATAATAACCCAAAAAAAAAAAAATGACAAACGTGTAAGAATGTGCGCTTAATTACGTGTTGGGAGACCACTGACTGGAGGAAGACGACGGCGTTGAAAAGGACAATGGCCCATTTAGGCCCACTAAAATTTTTGGGTAGGTACACGGACACATTTGATCCGTAAGCCCAATAAGCAGCGACGGTAAGTCCGTAATAGAATGGGAGCCCCACTGTGTACTGTGAACATAACGCCTTCCTCATATTCCTCACTGCTGGCTGCCTTAGAGTTGACTGCGTCCGTCGTATCCGCCAAAAGCCAAAACCATATCGTTCTTTCAGTAATAATTTCATTATATTTAATTCAAAATATTACATATTTCAATGTTGACTTTGGTGTAGGATATATCACCTGTATCTCTGGGAGCATGCCTGAAGTGTTGGATACGATGATGGCAGAGATGGAACCCATGGCATTGAACACCATGCTCACCTCGCCACCGCTAATATTATAGTCCCTATTAGAGTTTGATTTACCTTGCAATAACCGTACCAATAATAGGTGTGTTTATGCGGGCCGTATTATTTTTGGAGAAGAACACTATTATTATAATATTAAAAGACAGCAATGAATGCTTTGTTACCGTCTTTGACTACAGCAAACAAAGTCACTGCGATGTATGTGAAGGTAAGGACGGCGGAAAGTGCTAGCCAATTTTTCATGGCCGACAATGTTGGAATGAAGAAAGCAAATATGAAGTAAGCTGCCCCTGTTATGACTTTGTAATATTGAAGCCTCAACGGTGAATCGCTGAACTCTGAATTTATTGCCTGCAGCATGCATTTTTACAGTCAAATACAAGCCATCTAGCTAACGTAACCCAGTTTTGTCTTTAGATATAGAGATAGGGAGGGTTAGTGTTACTTTAAGGGCTTGGCCTCCGAGGATCATGAAACCCATGTTTCCAAGAAGAAGAGTCAGAAACTGCGCGGCGCATGTGAGTCGAGACATAGTGTTGCCTTGAAGTATATCAAAAGATGATATGATCAGTTAATGAACTTGTTAATTAGATGTGGATTTGGTGAATTTGGATCCAGTATGACTCATATGTAGAAAGGCTCACCGAAAAGGAATCCCATGATGTCTCTGTATCTAATGAATCTCTGGCCATTGATGAAGTGAAGTGATGCTAATAGCCAGTTGGCGTATGCTGTGTAGAGTCCCACAACAATAAGGCAGAGGACGCCCCATTTCCAACTCAGTGGCGCCATTATCAACTTCGAGTAAGTCAATATCCATCCACAGTTGAAGCTGGTTATCAGCAGCAACCCCACTTGCTGCCACGAATCTGCAGCAAATTATAAGTTCATAATAATTATTTTTAGAACGAGCCATGCCTCAGATTTTTAGCGCAACTCAGATCTCTGAAAACAATGGGATTAGCTATAAATAATGATTACCGTGGTCCACAGTATGAGCAGAAGTGACCCCATCAATTCGGGGGCTCTGTTGAAGATCCTGTTCGATGCTCAGAGACTTGTTTCCCCCTTCTTCATCCATGGAAAATCCTAATTCTCTGCAGAAAACACAAAAAAGCAGTCTTTTTTTTTTTTCCCCTCGAAACAAATAGCTCAGGGTGGTGGTATGTTTGGGAGGGCGTCCTGCTTTATTACATGGGATTCGATTGAAGACAAACAGGAGATAACAATTGTAACGGCCTAAATGGAACACGACTTCGCCATGCTTGGAAACCAAGTTTCCTAATTAAAGAGGATTCGAATCCATGGGTTCGTATTTTTTATTACTTTGCCCCAGTTATAGTGACTTGTGCTAGTACGAGATGTTAATTTTTATTGGCTCTGATTCGCAAACTGTCCAAAAATACACGCATCTCGCAGACTCACACCCATCTATAAAAGACTATTAATCCAAACATACTGACATAATTGAGTATGTCAACGCTATGGCCCATGTGATTGTTTCCATTCGAACTTCACCGCCCCACCTTGTTAGTATTCTGATACTCCTCCGGTCCTAATTATAAGACCCAATTGACTTATTTGAGAAAATTAAGGAAGTAAGTTAAGTTGGTTATTTATAATAAATAAGTGTTGTCATTCCTAAAATATCCTTGCTAATTAAGTATATTGGCTAAAAGTATCATTATTAGAAGGATTATCTTGGAAAAAAATGCATAAATATAAGAGAGAAAATGGATTTGGTCTTATAATTAGGACCAAATAAAAAGTCAAATTGGGTCTTATAATAAGGACCGGAGGAATATTTGTTAAGAATCAGAAACGTCTCAGGACATAACGTTTATAGAATGCAGACAGCGAAACATAAGTCACTTCGATTCACAAACCTGATAATCCGCCGCGTGGATCCCACCAGCTGTTCCAATTATTTTGATTCTATTAAATAAAAGCATTTCCAATCCAATTCCGAATAAAAGTTCTCAAACCCCTTTTTTTTTTGGCAAAATAGGTCGAATACGAGTTATCACATAATTTATCAAAAGCCCAATTGTATAAGCAAACTAGCACTAAATACCCGGGAGCAAAGCAAATATTATAAATATTATTTTTAATTCTAATTATAAAATTTTATTTTATTTATAATTTATAAATAATATCTTATAAATAGAATCAGAGAGATAGTATTAAAACAAAACATAGTACAAAATAACTAATTCACAGTCACATCTCCAAAAACTTAAACTAATCTATTGAACATCCACGATAAAAATAAAAAACACTACAAAAATTGTACTAAGCTACTAAATAACTAATGGTCATAACATCAACTACAAACACACTTACACACATGACTTAATAGTAATATGTAATATTACACATATTATTATATGATAATTAAATTATAATTTATAATTATAATTAAATTATAATCATAAATATAAGTAGATATGAATACAAATAACATATAAATATATAATTATCCGTCCAAAATTATTATCCAGCTAATTCTCATTACTTCATTTAATACTAATAATTAATAAGTTAACAAATTCAGTGATAAAGGAGAAATGAAGCATCCGTAACTTATGTTTTGTTTTATTATGATTCTTATACTTTTTAAGAGAAGCAATTAACTGGACAAAAACCACTACATTTGAAAGAACACGATACAAATAAACAATTGCAGAAATGGAGTAATTTAACCGTTCAAACATGCAAAACAAATGTACCAATTAAATACTGCACATGATTCCGTTCGGAACTCTTAATAACCCTCACAATGACTCTCCACCTATTGGTCCTTTCATGGGGATTTTTTAGAAGAGAAACTCTGGACATGATGGGAGTTGGAACATCAAGTGCAATTGCAATAGACATTGAATTTATTTTATTTCAGTTTTAATTAAGAAAATAATTTACTGGTTTCAAGTCAAAATAATTATTTTAGGGTTAAAAAACATCTCATGAATTTATTTCAACATGACACAATCTCTTCTTACATGCTTTCATGCTTTGTCTTACATGGTGCATTAAAATTTCATGATCCATGCAGATTCCAAAATTTCTCCCGGTAAACACCATTGATTATTTTTTTGAGTAGGATGTTATCGCTAACTCAGGGTATCCCAGCGTATCGGCCAGACTAATCCCAGGGTGCCTCGCCAGGAATCGAGCCCATGACCCGGTAGGAGAACGCGCCTTGCGCCTCCGTTTGCGACCAGTCGGACCCAACCCTTGCAGGCAACACCATTGATTATTTTCATTTGGATGAATTAGAACAATATTTGTAGCCTTCACCATCACAAATGCCTCGTTTATTCCTTCACTATGGTTTGTCAAAAAGACTAACACTTTAAGACAGCGTTTAAGGTGAGATTTTCATCCCCATTGCAAAACAATATCATTCAAATTTCAAATCTTGCAAAAATAATCCCATAGATCTATATTTATAAAATAAAAAAAGTTATCAACAACTGAAAAATTGTAAAAAAAAACCCTTCATTCTGTTTTGCCTTACTAAATATCACCTGTAATCAATAAACACAAGGTTGAAGAAGTAATATATATATTGAAATAAACTTTACTGATTTACTACAAATGCAGATAATCTTTATGAGGCGACATTAAATCCCACACAAGCTAATATTGTCATCATAATTCTTTCACCTAAAGATTTCAAATTTTCACCAAAAAGGATTTTACGTCAAATTATCTTAACAATTTAACTTTAATATTCAAATACCTTGATTTTAATTCATCAAATATCAAACGGTGCAATATTAAAAACAATATATGACACTTAGCCCAGACAGCCAAAAACTCTTCAAAATTAAAGATACATAACATTAAACTTCAATTAATGAAACTAAAGTATAGTTTCTACGTATTACCAAGTCTAAGATTTTCATATGCCACTAACATTGTGATTGTTGATCTAAAAAGAGAGAAAAAAACAATATTCTCTCAATCATTTCCTAAATTGGTCTTGTGCATTTCAACAGAGATTTCCCAACCAATGATCTCTTCGAAACATAAGTCACTTCGATTCACAAACCTGATAATCCGTCGCGTGGATCCCACCAGCTTTTCCAATTATTTTGATTCTATTAAATAAAAGCATTTCCAATCCAATTCCGAATAAAAGTTCTCAAACCTTTTTTTTTTTTTGGCAAAATAGGTCGAATATGAGTTATTACATAATTTATCAAAAGCCCAATTGTATAAGCAAATCCCAACTCCCAAGAGCCCACACTTTTTGTATAAACTAGAACTACAGCATCTGCCAGATCTGCTTCTCCTTCCCCACCTCTTCTACCTCTCTCTGCCACCGTCAGCAAAACCCTTCCCCCTTCTACGCCTTATCCTAACTCCTGAGACCCCTACCTTCTCATCCTTCTGTACAGACTTCTCTGGCAATGGCAGAAACATGCCTGCTTTCTTTGCCATCCCTGTTCTGCAGCAAAACCAACCATCCCCATTTTTCAGCAATTCCTTCTAAACCCCATAAGCTTCAGCTTTCGTGTTCCAACTCTACACTCCTTTTACCTTCTCTATCTCTCATCAGGAGAACTCATTCTTCCTCTATATTGACATTTGTGGCACAGACTTCTGATTGGGCTCAGCAAGAAGCTGACAACACAGTTGCTGTTGGGGATGACGAAGCCGCGTGGGAAAATCAAGAGGTCGACAATACTGAAGCTGGCCTTTCCGACTGGGAGGCTGAGGGTGGCGAGGGCGAAGGAGAGGGTGGTGAAGACGGGGTTTTTGAGGAAGGGGAATACGTAGAACCGCCTGAAGATGCCAAAATCTATGTCGGTAATTTGCCTTACGATGTTGATAGCCAAAAATTGGCTATGCTTTTTGAGCAAGCTGGAACTGTTGAAATTGCCGAGGTGAGATTTTACACTCTCGAACGCCTTGTTTATAGTGTTAATGGCTTCAATGGCCTATGGGGTCGTGACATGCTGACATGGTTATTGTGATATTAGGTGATTTATAACAGGGAGACTGACCAAAGTCGTGGGTTCGGATTTGTGACGATGAGCACGGTTGAAGAAGCCGAGAAAGCTGTAGAAAAGTTCAAACGCTACGTAAGTTGCTTGTATACTTACATTTATTGATACATCTAGCTTGCTATCGACTTAACAACGTGTTTATCCTGTCTTGAGAAATGAACTGAAGTTTACAACGTGTTTGTCCTGTCCTGAGAAATGAACTGAAGTTGCATTGAAATGTCAAGATGCATGCTTAGGAGTAAGAGGGAAAGGGATGGGAAGGGAAGAAATCCAAAGAAAATGGAGGGAGGGGAATGGGTTGTTCAATTATTTCGCCTCCGTTGTGTGGGAAAACTTTCTCCTCCAAGATCCCCTTAATTGTTATTAGAATATAAAATTGTAGAGCGAAGATGTTGGACGGTTACTTATTCTTCATTCTCCTCCATTCCTTATAACACTCTTCCCAATAAAATATGTTTCATCGAAATGTTCCTCTTCCTTTCCTTTTTATCTGTTATCCTCCATCCAGTCAGGTCCAGTGTCATGTGAAAATAGAAACTTTAGTCTATTGCTCTGTATTATTTTTCACAATGGCTTTAGTGAAAAGGGATCTAGTTAGGTCTATATATGTCACTAGAAAACATATCTTGGAATAATCAGGAGACGGGAGCTTCGGTTCTCTTGAGAAAGGGAAAGTAGTGATGGTATTATTAGTTTTCCCCCTTTCAAAGTAAATACTTGTATATGTGAAGTGATAAGTCTAAAAGGCTTCCGAGACTTCCTATGGGATATGAAGGTTTTTATTGTGTTAATGATGATTTTATAGTAAGATCATCGGAGACCAGGTGGGAGTTGGGGTACCAAGGGATTAAAAAAGGCTTCCTAGAATTGATCGTTTGTGCTTTTCAGAATTTTACTTCAGTTAGAATAGGATTGTTACATATCCGTATTCTCTACCACAGGATTTAGATGGAAGACTGCTGACTGTTAATAAGGCTGCTCCGAGAGGATCACGACCTGAACGTCCACCTCGTGCCTTTGAACCTGCTTTCAGAATCCACGTTGGCAACTTGCCGTGGGATGTGGATAATGCTCGCCTGGAGCAAATCTTCAGTGAACAGGGTACGGTTGTGAATGCCCGGATAGTTTATGACAGAGAGACTGGCCGATCACGTGGTTTTGGCTTCGTCACAATGGCCAGTGGGACTGAAATGAATGATGCTATTGCGGCCCTCGATGGTCAGGTATAACACAAGTGCTCAATTACTTTACTAATGTTGTATTCTAAGAGTTTTAGGAAATGTCGACGGTTTTCTTTTTTGGGATTCTAACTTGTGATATACTCCTGTGGTCTTAAACATAAGATTCATTTTATAGTGTGATTTACACCATAAAATGGGTCTTACTTCTAGGACCAGACGAGTATTTGTTGGAATGATCATGTGACTGGGTGGTTTTGCCATTTCAGAGTGTGGATGGGAGAGCGATCAGAGTGAGTGCTGCTGAGGAAAGGCCCAGGCGTGGCTCCTTTTGAAGGGTTTCGCTCAAGTAATTCTCCACGGCATCTGTTTTGAGTTCCTTCTTCTAGCTGAGGATATAGTGTTAATTTTCTTTGCTCCTCCTTTGGTTGAGCACATAGTCTGAGATTTAGATATACATACATACAAGTTATTAATTCGATGCCCAAATGAGAATGATTCAATTATAATTTCGCCCCACTGAAAGAAGTATTTTTGGTGGTACTTTCTAGCTGTTAAGAAAAACTAACTGGTACTTCCCCGTGTGTTGCACGGGAAGCGTAAAATACAATGCATTCAATACAATAAGTTCATAACTGTTGACTATCACTAATTAGACCACAAACAAATTACAGTATTCACAAACATCATGGCAAGTTCCCAAATATCTCCTTACAAACTATATTTGTTGTTGCCCTCCTTGAACATCCGCCCCTTTCATCAACAGCTACTTCTAGTCCATCAACAGACTTTACTCTAGATAATGCCACGTATAGTCAATCATGAGTAAATATTGGCTTCGGAAGACATATTCCAACCCTCTTCAAAACTAACCTTGACTTTTATTTATAGTTATTGCAAATGACAGTGTAACTGGGAATTATCTTCTTCTCAATTGAAATGGCCATTTACTTTTAGATGGGTTTATATCCATCCTATGCAATAGCACTTTCTGGTTTTTCTTCAATCCATTCAACATGATTGCTTTAATTATGTTCTTCCCCAAATATGTAACAATCATTCGAGTGCCGTTGCAAAGTTCTGCTGTCTAGTCAATATTTCTCAACAATATAATTGGTGCTCCAATTTTTAGATTTAGCTTATGTGGTGGTAATCCAAAACTGTTAATTGTATTGAGAAACTCAGTTTATAGAAGTTGTTACTATGCCATAACTAAGATGCTTGCACCCTTCACCATGTAACAATGAACACATGTATTCATTAAGTTGATTTCCTAGCTCAATAGTTGGTGTGAGTATGGCTTGGTCGTCGAAGAATTGGCTAATGCTAACATTTTGGACCAAATCACCATACGTTGCAGAAATGATTGCCTCCATTCCATTTTTGTAATCACAGAGTAATAACTCATTGGGGATCTCAACCTCTGTATTTCCATCATGAGGAAGTCTAATTTTGCCGCCATTAACTTCTAACAACCAATTTGAGAATTTCTCCAATGATAGGTTTCCTTCATTTGTTGGAGAAGAAGTCAGATGCATGTTTCTTGTTAACTTAAAAACTGTGTAGTGATACCATAAGTGTGATGAACATATGCATGCATTAACAACAGTTGTCCTTGTTCCTTTTGGTACTACTCATAATATTTCATGAGTTACCACTTATAACAACACACTTGCCCCTGAAGGATTGAACAAAGTGCATGATATCTTTAAATGTGAGATCAACTGTTTTAATATAGTGACATTGAACTGTTGGAACTTCATCCCATATAATTAATTTAGTACTCTCAATCAATTTTGCCAAGGGAGAATTCTGTTTAATTGAACAAACAAAAAACTCATTAATTTGTATAGGCATTGCAAACTTTGAACCACTCCCTAGTAATAATATTGTTGCTACGCCATTTGACTGTTAAAACAATCCCTTTTTTTGCACGCAACACAAATATCAAAGCATTCGTAAGAAATGTTTCAATTATAATTTCGCCCCACTGCACTGATCCACCGTAAAAGGTATATTTTTTGTGGTATTTTCTCACCGTTAAGAAAAATTTCTCATACAAAAATATGAATATTGTTCAAATCAAATAAATATTGATTTATGCTAGTGGGTTTTTATCAGTTAATCACGTAGTTGCTGATTCATAGGGATTTTAGCAGATTTTTGTTATTTTATTGTCATGATTTAATGTCTTTAAATACCTATTTTACAGATTGAATAAAATACATCCTCAGAAAATATTTTTCAGAGTTCTTTCTTCTAATTTTTGTTTTTAGTTTTCTTTCTAAAACCCTCAGATTTAGTTTTTTCTTTTCTTTATGTTTCTCTTCTTTTTCAATATTATATGCCCAAGCTACAGGTGTCCGCTGCATACTATTGCAGGGGCATGCATCACGTCACTTGGACAAAGACTGTTCACCTTTTGTCTCTATTTGCCAATAAAGTAAAACTCTAATCCATACCCACGATCGCAGATCTTTTCAAATAATTAACGTCTATCATATGAATAATATTTATAGAAGAGATAGAGAGGGTCTCTAAATTTACTAGGACGGAAGCAAGTATATTTATGCTTGATTCACTGATAACGCACTATAAGAGACTCAAAAATACCACCTATAAACATGCATCGTAACTGCATAATCTTATCCAAATCAAGAGACTACTTTTGCTTTTGTTTTATACCCAGCTGCAAGCAAGGTACATGTTCAATGAGACTTTATTCCACATCCTCTCATATAAAGTCTTGCTCCTTAGGTAGTGTCTGGTTGGGATTTTTGCAAGGAAGGGAAGGGAAGGGAAAGAAAAGAGAGGGGGTTAAGCGTGTTTGGTTGGAAAGAGGGGAGGGGAGAGGAAGTAAGTTTTTGTCTTTTTCCTCACCCTTCCCCTTCTCCACCGTCACTCCAAATCGGGGTTTTTGGGAGCAGAGAAATTTTCTGCTATATCCTGGCTAAATTACCCACACTTGCTTTTCAATATTCCAATTTTGCTTATCCGCCTAAAGTATTTCTTTCCTTCTTCGCCGTAGCTTTGTTCTTCTTTACACTGGCTTGTCCTGTTACTCTGTATCAGTCATCAATATCCTCCACAAGTTCGTGCCTCTTGTTGCCTTCTGTCCTTCTCTTGCTTCACAAGATCTCACTGTTTGCGAAAAGATCTACTTTGTTTCTACCTGAGCTTTCTTTTCCCTTCATCTTCTTTTTCATTTTGCTAAAATTTGGTGATAACATGGACTTTTCCATAACTAATCACTGTCAATGATATCCTAGTAAATAAGTCTTGTTACTATGACTAATATTATTTAAAATTAGTATCATCGCATACCGTGAATAGAATCATAAAATATAATTTTGAATATGCACATAAATATAAATATAAGCATATAAATATAACTATAACTATATTTGTTCAATTTTAATAATTATAAATTATAATTTTACATCTTAATTTTTATTTATAATTATATTTTATTAAATATTCTGTTAAGTTTAAAAAAAATTACTGATTTAAAAACTACTTAAAAAAGGGGTAAAATTATCTGTATGAAAACATCTCCCGTCCCCTTCCCTCCCCTCTTGAACCAAATAAGATAATATTAAAATCCCTCTCCTTACCTCCTCTTTATTAAAATCCCTCCCCTTCCCTTCTCTCTCTTTCTTTTTATTAAAATCTCTTCCCTTCCCTCTCCTTCTTTTTGTTGAACCAAACACACCCTTAGCAGGCTACCTCGCACGCACGCGTACACATAAAAACCAAACACTACTTCTTATATTCCGTGTTCTGATAACATCAGGGGTTGAGGACGATATGGCAAGCAGCCACCCTCGCCAACTAGCAGCCATTTCCCCCAGTAAGATGCAGCAAAGAAGACAACGTAGGATTTTTTCGACCTCGGACGATACTGCCATGATGAAGCAAGTTCAGGCCGCTCATGCCCCTGATGGTCGTGAAGTTGATGTCAATCCTGTTCTCCAAATCACAGAGGAAATCTTGATTAATGTCATTGCTCGTACTGTTGACGGTGATGTTGATGTATTATTTACCATGTTATGTTTTTGTGCCCATTCTTGTCGTTTCTGTGTTATAATCTAATAGTAATCTAAGCATCTAGCTGTGTGGTTTTGTTCGTAGGGGAAAACAGAACATGCTGATTCTATGGAGAAGGCTGCTACTTTTGCTGAGTTGGACAAGCTTGACGCCTTGCCCTCTATCATGTACAAAGTTTCCTGCGAGGTTGTTTTCTCATGCCAAAATCTGCAAAACTTTAACCAAAGTTCTATTTATTTATTACTATCGTTAATGTTGAATGGATTTTCTAAAAAAAGAACTGACAATTCCCCCTCCCCTTCTTCTTTTTTTGCTTTTCCTGAGGGCAAACAATATATACTTATCTTGACGACTAGGGTAATTTCTTTAAGTATATACCCTTACACAAGCATTAATAGTTCCGTAACTCGCCATTCAGTGTGATAATAACGTTAATTTTCTGCCTCTAAACTAACACACGGGAGTGAAAAGTTATTGTGAAAACACATTACATGACTATATATGTATATTGGCAGTTATCTTACCGGTGCCAAGGAGATGGAGATGCACATACGACAACCATGGGGATCCTGAACATGCTTTCTAGCTATTCATGGCATGCAAAAGTGGTGCTAACTTTATCAGCCCTAGCTGTTAACTTTGGAGAATTTTGGCTCGTTGCTCAGTTGGCTGCTACAAATGCACTTGCAAAATCTGTGGCACTGCTCAAGCAACTACCTCATCTCGTAGAGAACCATGCCTATCTAAAGCAGCAATTTGATAAACTGATCAAGCTAGTGAAGGCGATTCTGGATGTGACCAGATGTATCATTGAGTTCAAAGAGCCACCCTCTGAGTACATTTCAGGGGAAGCTCCTCCAATGTCCGTTGCCAATGCTCATATTCCTGTTGCTGCCTATTGGACCATCCGAAGTATTGTGGCTTGTTCTTCGCAGATTGCAAATCTTGTAGGATTAAGGAACGAGTAAGTTTGGAAGCTCTTACACTCCATTCCCTTACTTTAATCATGAAGTGACTAATAAGCATCGGTTCTTTTTTTAAATGGTTATAATGATTATAGGTACGGCTCAACCCCCACAGAGGAATGGGAACTGTCAAGCTTGGCACATAAGATGAGCAATATATATGAGCATCTTCAGAATCAACCAGCCATCTGCCACCAATATGTGGGTGAGAACATCAGAATTAGCATTTTAGTGCAAAAATCTTTAATCTGAAGTAATGTAATATAGTTTATAAGAATATCTATGGAAATGCAGATGAGAAAAAGCACATCGAGGCCTTTCGCAATTTGGTTCGTCTTTTTGAGACAGCCCACGTAGACAACATGAAAATTATCAGGGCATTGATATACGCCAAGGACGACCCACCCCCTCTTATAGATGGATCTACCAAAACAAGGGTTGGCTCTAAATTCTTAAACTTTCACAGTTCTACATATGCATCTTGAATCTAAAACATTTCATTGGTTG